CTTATTCTAGATAAATCTTATCAACTTCCTTCACTAAGTGGTAACCCCAGTTCCCCCAAAAGCAGAAATTAAACTCATACCTATCACTTATTCTAATAAAGATAATATAAACAGTGCGCTAACATTAGTTGTAAATAAGAATTTCGTTAATAATTTAAAATTATTGTGGAAAATGTTTTTATTAACTTTTTTGAGTTTTGAACCCTATCTTATACCTAATAGAAGGTCTATAGTAATTTTTTTAGTCACTCAAACAAGATAAGAGCTTCTACTATGTGAAAAAACTTCGTAAAAGATTTAAAATTTTGAATCAAATACCAAATTATACGAAGAAAAAAAGTAAAATCTAATTGTAACATAATTTAAGTTTAATGTTTAAAATGATAATTTGTCTAATCATAGATATTCTTCAACTATTCCAGTGCATTTTACTTGCAGAGCAAGCTCTAAATTCAGAGTTTTAGGTGGAAATCTTTTCCTTCCTAACTTATTATGCTGAAATTGAATCTAATGTCTATTATTGATGCAGTATGATGTACATGGTGACCTATTAGGCCTCCTGGGGGCCCATCCAGTGACACCACTTGTATCACTTCATCACATTGATGTTGTGCAGCCGATATTCCCTGGAAAGACACGGCTGAAATCACTGCAGCACTTACTTGGATCTGCTGAGTTCGACTCAGCAAGCCTAATTCAACAATCCATCTGTTATGACTCCGACAGGTTATGGTCAATCTCAGTATCCTGGGGCTTTGTGGTGCAAATTATAAGGGGAGTGATCTCTCCTAGGGAGCTTGAGATGCCCTCAAGAACATTCCTGAACTGGCAACTGAGAGCTGATTATATAACCTATGCAATCAACACCAGGCCTGTGGCAAGGCATCCTTGTCAAAGACCATTCATTTTCTATCTGAACTCTGCTAGATATGACAAGGCTAAGAAACAGACTATTGGATATTATTCCCTTGATAAAACTCGCCGGATTCCTCACTGCCGGTGGAGAATGGACTCCCCTGAAAGGATTAAGTCTGTAGTAGTCTTGAAGAGACCAGATCCTCTTCGTTGGCAGAAGGTAATCAAGTCGAAATTGCTTCAACAGCATAACATACACTAATTTTGTTCTTGTATACACTCTTAACACTATTTATCTCGGCATAACTGATAATAATTTTTGTTATTCTGCAGTCGCCAAGGAGGGATTGTTGCAGAGTTATGCCATCACACACCAACTCTACGCTGTACTTGTGGGTGGGAAACTGCCGAGACAGGGAGATCAGTGAATTGGTCCAGCAATAGGATCCATACTTTTGTTTGATTTTGCTTATGCTTTTCAAGATTCAGGGAGCAGTACAGGAAGAATGAAAGCCAAGCATATAAACGGAAACAGAACTCAGAAAATCTAGTTTTGATAGCCTTAGTTTAAAGCAGAAGTTCCATAGAAGCAAAATTTTGAAGCCAGAGAACTAATTATCTTTTCTATGTAAATTTCATACGAAAACATTGACAAGCAACAATTATCTCCACAAACAATTTAGTTTCATAAGCTCTTCACCTCATCTTATATTAGATTCTTAGTAGTATCTCAAGCAAACTAATTTTCTATTCTACTGCTTCTTCACTGCAAGATCTTCCAAGACAGTTCCAATACAGAAGAAATGAATCTTCCCTAATCAGTTTTATTCAGCTTATAACTTTCAGTTTCATTATACCTTGTGAGCTTCTGCGGAACAGATGCAACCAAATATGTATCGGATGCCAGAATCGCAAATTCAACATGAGTATTGTTAAGAGCAAGCAGCTTTTCCATCTCATGTATTGCCACAATTCTGCCGTCCTCAATCACCACATTTACTGATTACAGACAAAAGTGAAACATACAGAAGGTAGTTAGAGATCAATCAAGACAGTTCTGCACAACTAAATCCACTTATATTCTGGCTATATATGGAGGACAATCGCGAAGAAGTAAGTGATGAAAGAAAATGCATCAATTAGTTCTCGAATCTAACCAGCTTTTTGAAAAACCTGAGCTGATAGAAAATAATTTAATTTATTTTCCACACTTAAAACATTTTCTTCACATTCAAACAGAACTACAACATGGACAGGACCGGACAAGTAGATGCAAAGATTTAGTAAGTAAAGACTCGAAACCATGATTTCATGCTTTATGATACGTAATAAGCTGTAATTGGCATCTATATTTATCTTCTATATTATGTTTTGACAATATGAATTTATTACTTCTTGTTATAAATCACCTTCTCTAAGGAAAAAGAAAAATAACAAAACAAAACATCAAGCTCACGGGCAGTAGTAGGTCGTTTCCCATATAATCTCAAGAGGCAAATACTTGAGCAGGAAGAGCTAATTACTCTATGAAAGTATAAGAAATTTAGAAACGACGTCAAAATAAGAACCGATGCAACTCGCAGAAGAATTTTATGACAGAATCAGTTCAACATTATAAGAAAACAAGAACAGCCGTTGAAGAGACAATTAAGTGCAACAAAAACAAAGTGAAAAACAAGTGTTACAAGTTTGGTGCGAGTGAAACGATACCTGGATGAGAGAACAACCAGAGAACGGAGAAGCAGAGGAACACAGTGAGAGGAATGGCGTGCAACCACTTCTCTGCCAACGGAAATAAGCGGCAACGTCGAATCTCCCTCCTCCCTGATTGCCCCGAATAGAGGGGAAACTCACCAAAATTCCAATCCATTATCGCCGAAGAATATTGCTCCTTTCTGTCGCCGTTGGCGGTTACAATCTTCTGGTTCCCGATTTGAGCTTGGAGATTCGAAGAGAGAATGAATTTTGTTCCGGAGTTTGATTTTCTAGCTTTATTGGTGCTTTCTTTTCTAACAATTGTAAATGTGTGTCTCTCTCTCTATATATATTAATTAGACTAATTAGATCTATAATTAATTTAATTTATTTTTCTAAATGGTATTAAGATTAAGTGGACTCCTCTCTGGTCATGGAGGAGGAATGTGATCGTTCTTTTAAGACTTCTGTAACAACTTTTGAGCGGGAAAGCAATGCGCGTGCAACCAAACCTCGGTAAGAAAATTAGTGTGGCAAAAACAGTAATCCAACGACGCCGTTTTGTTGCGTCCCTCCCACTATGAGTTGCTCGTTCAAAATTTCGTAGGGTCGGATTCATGGGTCTTATATGCTCCGGTTGGGTTGGGTTTTGGTACCCGTACCTGGTTCAACCCGACACGTAAACAAAAGCAAACAGAATGTTTCCCTTTTGGATTATGAATTCAGATCCAAAGAAAACCACGATCCTGTTCTGGCTAGACATGGCAGATTGTTCAATTCAGACCAAGACTATCTTTAACACGATAAAGATCAAAATCAGGTTAGGATCATTCCCAGAACTGAAGACTAAACCGACCTGTATTCCATATCTAATCCAGGCAATCAAATACCCTTAAAACACCCATATCAGAACATAAAACACAAAATGAAGATCATACCAAGAACATTATTTTTCAGATTAAGAATGTGTTGAAAGAAATCCAAATTTCAAGACCATCAACAAGCTCATGGATTAGAAAATGGTGGCTAAACTATTATTTATAGGAATGTAGTTTCCTAGACAGAAGCATCTTACATACAAGACCCCAGGCTCAAATGTACACCCATGGGAGGCTGAGAAGAGGAAGAAAAGAGTAAATGGCAACAAATAAAAGAAGCTGTTTTCTTTTTTTCTTTTTCTTTTCCCTGCTCCTTTTTACCGATCCTACAAACGACCAACCGTGTGTAACTTTCTTTCAGTTTGCAACTTTACCACTTCAGCAAGATGAAACAATCGGTAAAGAAGAAACTTCTTTTTCTTGAAAGAAAAAGAAAAGGATGAAGTTTCCTATATTTTGTCAGATTGAGGTTGTGAATGAGATCCGCCTGTTATCCCCTGTGATACAAGAATTGATAACAGGCACTGCAAAAAGGTATTTACCATCTTTTATTGTTCCTAATTTATCGACCTCAGTTTCTCTGGGATCCTGTACTAGCACCTAATCTTCTATCATCAGCCCTATTTGCTTCCGAATGTGACGGGTTCCTTCTGGAGCTTTGGACTGGATGAGTTTGTGGGTCATATTTCTGCGAAGCGAGGTAATTCAGAGCCATAACTACATCAGAGATTACTGGCCGCATATTAGGCTGCTCCTGAACACACATTGCAGAAATAGCCAGAGCTTGATATAAACCTCTTACGGGATATTGACCTTGGAGCAATGGATCGACCATTTGTGAAAAACTCCTTCGATCTTTGAACAAGGGCCGGGCCTGCAATCAAACATTAAACTCTATTCATAAACTACCTTTGGATAATAATTATTCTCCTCTTGATTAACTTCCAATCCAATATATCTACTACATTTTCCCAGAACAGATAAAAAGACACTAATTTTTTATATAAGATTTTCTTTAGAGACAAATTATGACTAAACAAGCCAATATACACGTATCAAAGCAGAAAACTGAAAGATTTAACCTGCAATTACTATAACTCAAAACTTGGGGCAACAAACAGAAGATAGGCATCAAAAGTAGCGCATTGTGGTCCATTAGATTTATTTCTTGTCCTATTCTTTTCACTAAATATGCATACTATATAGAATTGGATCAAAATTTGTTGAATCACTTCCAACCAACCTACAATTTCATGAAGATGGTTTTCTAATTCCTACTTGGATAAGAATTAGAAATTTATCCCTAAGGGATACAAGTATTCAACATATTGAAGCTAAACTTGATGACTTGCCCTATGTTTCGCAGCGAGACGACATTGTGCAAAACCTTAGCTAGTTTACAACAGATGTTCACATAATTGTTATCTAAACTGTACGATAAACTTGAAAAGAAAAAAATGGGAGAAAACATACTCATGATTTTACAATGCCTGGCAATCATTCCAACAAGATATTTAGAGGAAACTCAGATTACAGAAATATAGAGCTAAAAGAAGTGAATAAGAGGAACTCTTACCCATCCAACCAGATTCTGCTCCTTATGCTCTCTTGTATTATCAATTGCTTTCCTTCCAGTAATGAGTTCCAAAAGCACAACTCCAAAGCTATATATATCTGATTTAAAAGTTAGTTGACCTGTCATGGCATAGTCCGGTGCACAATACCCGTATGTGCCCATAACCCTTGTAGATACATGCGTCTTATCCCCACTAGGGCCAACTTTAGCCAAACCAAAATCAGATAATTTTGGGTGATATCCCTCACCAAGCAAGATGTTTGAGCATTTCAGATCACGATATATAACGGGTGGCTTCATTTTTTCATGCAAATACTCCAAGCCCCTTGCTGCACCAGCTGCTATTTTCATCCTCGCATTCCAATCAAGTGGTTTCCTACCAGGTAGAAAATCTAACACCAATAAAAGCAAACAAAGAAAAGAAAGATGTTAAAAAAAATAAACAGCATAATGGTAAAAGATGCTACTAAAAAACCCATACAATTATATATCATTAGAATGATAATGGTGGAATACTGATTAGAAACTTACATACCATGTAAATGGTTTTCCAAGGATCCTAATGGCATGTACTCGTAAACCAAAAGTCTCTGATCACCCTCAGCGCAAAATCCAATCAATTTTACAAGATTAGGATGGTCAGCTAGACTTAACGTCAATACTTCAACTACGAATTCCCTGATCCCTTGGAGTCCATTTCGGTCAAGCTGCTTGATAGCAACAACCTAGCCACCAATAATAACAAAAATATAGCCTCAACACCAACTTGTGTTATCAAAGATTAAAATGAACAAGCACTGAACTTTAGCTCATTAAGTTCAGGTGATCAATTCCAGACCCAAGTGACATCAGAGAAGCTCATGACAATAGATAGTTCATCTTAAATAACATCTGAGAATAAAACTGAACCACACGAACCAACCTGGTTGATTTTCTCCAGGTGCCCCTTGTAAACCTTGCCAAAACCTCCTTCTCCCAAAAAACAATCTGACCTAAAGTTCCCTGTTGCTGCAGCAAGCTCTTCAAAGGTGAATGTCTCTGCCCTCTTTCCAGTGCTTTTACCATCCTTAGAAACCTCATCTTTCAAATTCAAATTCTTGACATCTAAAGACAATTGGTCGTCCTTAGAGAGCTCCTGTTTATCTACATTCCTATATGGACTGACTTTCATTGTATCTGTAACACATCCACATACAAACAAATAAAAAAAGGAATAAGAACAAAGAAAAAGACATAAGAGATAATGCACATGGGGAGGGAAGGCCAAAAAATTACTTCAATATAACTTTTACAAAAAGTGTCTCCAAAAAAAGATTACAATCATGCAAAATTTAAAAGCAAACAAAGAAGATACACGGACAAAAAAGAACCTCAAAGGACAGGTTTTTGGACTACGGATTGGCTTCCTTCTCATCATGCAAACAAACACGGCATAATAGCTATATAAACACCAAAACAAGCATTACTACATAGGGAACTATACTGTCTAATCAAGTAGGAAGATTAATGATTGGTGTAATTTGACTACCATTTCACACAATCAAAGCTGCCAGTTCTCTAATAACTTACTCAGAAAGAAGATGAAGATCAACACCGCTTGACCTAAAATTAAACTGAAGAGAGCGAGAGACAGGGAGAGAACCCAAACAACAGAACATTAAGTGAATGCATAGAAAATGGAAAAATGTAAATTTCAATAAAGAAAACTATCAAGAATCAAAAACCAACAAAAAACTAACCCAAAATAGACTGAGGAAAAAATAAACACGAATAAAGAAATTTCAGAAAAGAAAAAAGGCGACTTTATTTTTTAATCTAAAGAGAGAAAAAAAAAATAACCCAACAAAAATCAATTTATCCATCTTTATCAATCTGGGAAAGAACAAATATCACAGAGAACAACCCATAAGAAATGAGGGAAAGCTCGAGAAAAGGAAAATGAAATTAAAGACCAAATACAACGCATGTAGTTTCAAAAATTTTCAAAATCTTATCAAAATAAAAAAAAAAAAAAAGAACCTGAACTAGGTTGCGTTTGATCATCGCGTTTGTGGCTATTACTGTTGTTGCCGACGATATTTTTTTTGCTCTTATTCTTCCTCCTACTGTTGCTGTTCTCTGATTGATTGCTTGAACTTCCAGAGCAACCAAAGCAACCCATAGTAATTACAAAAGAATTTTCCCCCTCTTTCTTTCCTTTTCCTCGGCTGTTCGGAGAAACCAGGACCCAAACACCCGAACAACTTACAAAATGGGATAGAAAAAGAAAAGAGGGCTGCAGAAAACCTTTAGAGAGAGAACAGAGAAAGAAAAAAAAAAAGAAAAAAAAAGAGCAAGTGAGAGAATGTATGATACGTTTCGATGGTTCTTTTAAGGAGTGCTTTATATTTCCGGATTGAATTGACTGCAAACCGGATCATAGTAATTAATCAACTGGACTAATTAAAAAGGACCACGTGTCCTGTTTTCGTCATCCTCAACGCGTCGGTGATAAATCCAGTGCGAAGCAGGTGTTAACTTGAACGAAGCTTGACGCGCCACGTAGTCACGAGGCTGCGCGGTCAAAGTATCTACCAGACGGTGTCGTATCTCGCTTCCTTTGAGCAATGAAACAGCTACTTTCCCGATGACGTTGCGAGCTATCATTGGCCCACTGTGATTGGGTAGAAGCCTGGTTTTCGCTTCGTATCTTTGTCCTCTTTATTTTCTAGAAGTAAAATGTTTTTTTCGTTTTCTGATTTTCTCTCCTCGCCGTTTAGGCTTTTTTATTTTTCTTTTTAAATATTCAATATGCTGTCCTTTATCACCCGGCGGTGACGTATGCATCACCCGGGCAGCCTTAGTCGCCGTCTGATTTAATTAAAAAATATTTTGAGACACGAAGGTCAAAACGCGGACCCACCTCGATGTTTACGTAGGATATGGGCCCCGCTCACTGACCTACGCGGTTTTCCATTTAAGATTTTAACGGTGATCCACGCGTTTAAAGCTCACCCACCAAGATGAAGAGAGAAAATAGACGAGCGAATAAGGGAACGACTCGTTTGGGAACTTGAATGTTGGGAAACAGGTGATCGCCGCTCGCATTTAAAGTTAACAGTGGTTTTCAATTTTGACCAAACGCCATGGTTTGGTTTTAACGAGGAAGAGGAGATTTCCTTCATAAACATTTATAATGAGAAGGAAAACTATAAAGATGCCTTGGAAAAAAGCACGATAATTTTGATTGTTAATAATAATAATCAGAAATACAAAATATATCTAAATTAAATTAATTTAAAATTTTTAAAAGGGTAAAATTTTCATACTTTTAATTTTACAAAATGCATCATCATTGGTTAAAAAATTTAATAATAACTAAATAATTATTTTATTAACGAATTAATTAATCATAGACTACTTCAAAAATTAGTATTTAACTTAATACTCCTCATTCAAAATATTACTATAAGAAATATAATTTTTTATAAAATATTATAATTAAATTATATAATGCCAAATTGTGTATTATAAAGTTATTACGACATGAATCATACCGAACCTTTTTTTTTTTAAATTATTGGATCGAGTTTTATTTCTATCTTGGTTTCTCTTGTTTTAAAAGTTAGAATCTCTCTAACTCTCCTTCTTTTTTTCTAATTTGTTCTCAACTAATTTGACTATGCCAAATTAAATATTTTCAAAATGTGTTTAGATTCCCTACTCTTAGTTTAAAAAAAAAAATGAATGAAAATTTAATTTAATATTTATTATGTTCAAATTTGTTCGCTACAGACACTTTATTTTATTTTTTATAAAAATTTATTTTTGTGATGTTGGAAAATGTTTTTTCAATAGTGAGTTTTGGTCATATTTTAAATTGCAAACTAAATTATTTTAACAATTTGATGAAATATTTTTATGGAAATTATATATTTTAATGGAATTTTCTGGTTACAACACCAACCAAAACACTTTTCCGTGCTTTTCTCTATTTTCCATATACACAATCATTTATATCTTGGAAAAACTAAATGAGTAGACAAAATTTGATTGGTAGTTTGGGAAATAAATTATTGACTTTAATTTAAAGGCCAATTTTCAAATGAATTTGCCTCCTTATATATATATATATATATATATATTTAAATATCACTATTGTTTGACAAAATTAATATATGAAATATGTATAATTACATCAAAATAAAAATATAAAAATATATATATAAAAATTTTACATAATTTGATAGTATATAAATATCTACATGCAGGATTAATAAAAAATATTATTATATAATATAAGAATACAATACAAAATTAGTAAATCTATTTATAAATATATTAATAGAGTTTTTTATAAGCAATATTTTTATAAAATATATAAATATAAATAAAATTTATGTAAATCATTTTTTATAATATAAATAAATATTATAAAATTTCAAAACATATCAACAATTATAAATACGAATTAAACTTTCAATTTGTCATAAGTGAAAAATACTACTCGGACTCAAAATTCATCATGCTGCAATGAATTCGAAGAGTTAATGTTTGTATTTAAAAATAATTAAATGTGATTTGATTTGATCAAATCTGGTAATCAGATCATCTTGTTCGTATATTAGAATGTATGATTATATAATATTGTACAAAAATAATTTATATTTAATTTTAAAAGAACCATCAAAATATTTTTCATCCTACACGTGTCTAAAACTCCAGCGAAGTAAAACCGCCCAAGGCCAGGAGATCAAGGTCGGTCCACCATAATCATACATTAATAATACTTTATAATTGCATGGTTCAATTAGTGACCACGTAAAAACAAATAATAAATTTTATTTAACCAAATAAAATAAATAATAAGGTTAAATATAACACATGTAAAACCATGATTAACATGCCAAAAACACTTGGCAAAATATTATAGACTTAATGTTATAATATATTTCCAAACTTTGTACTAATTTCTATTCAAAATTTAATGAATTTTAACTTATCAATTATTTATTTATGTTATTGTCTTAGTGCAAATCATATATATTATTATATAAATTAAAATATAATATTGAATTTTATTATTATTTAATTTACTTTATATATGAATATCAATCACAACATAAAAAATTTTAGTTTATTAAATAGATAATGAAAACTTTATTCTTACAAATGTCAAAAGAGAAAATTTAATCCAGTAAATGTAAAAAATTAATCATGTAATTTGTTTATGTATATAGTTAAATTAAATTCAGTTATATTTTAATTTTATAACCACATATAAAAAAATTTATCATGTGTTAAGAAATTAATCATAAAAACAATTATTATGAAATTAACTTAGAATTAAAATTATATATCTGCTGAGTTTGTGCGCTTATTAACTTAAAAATTTTATGTACGAATAAAGAAAATTGTGGTAACATATAAATAATAAGCGCATGAAAAAAGTGTACGAATATATAAATAATATATTATTTTTTTATTAATTTAAAATTTAAAAAGTCATCAGTTAGATTTATGAAATAAAGTTAATTAGTCGTATTAACCAAAAGCTAACATGTAGTGCTCTTTGGATAATTAATTAATAAGATTAAATTAAACATCATGACAGGCATGAAGATTTGAATGTCTATCATGACCATTCAAACACTCCACGTGTTGCCGAGTAAGAGGATGATTGGATCTTAATCAAGATTAATTGTGGATAATAATCATAAAATAATATAATTATTGATAATAATCACAGCGCACCAAAATTGAAATAGTAATTATCAAGTGATGGCAAGATGTGACGACCTCGTGGCAAAAGTTTAAGGATATGGTGACCTCATTTCGTTGTCTTCATTAGGGAAATCTTTATAATACAATGTCTTAATACTTAATAGCTTTATAATTTTATTTAAATATTAATAATAAAAATTTTAATTTTTATTGATTGGAAAAATAAATGAAATTAAATATTATTTTAAAATTATTTTATTTGAATTCTCTCCTCCTTCCTTCAACCTCGAAAAGAGATATAAACTAAAAGAACACAGCTGGATCTGATACGAGATCTGTGAGATTTGGTGACTGAGGGAGCCGCCGGGAAACCAACTGAATTTTTCTTCACAGAAAGTTTCTTCTTCAATTCATGGTGCAGTATAGCTGGTTCAGTAAATAAAAGTCAATTGATTAGTTGACTTTTATTATTATTTATAACAAAATAGCTGGTTTTCCTTTGCGAAAAATTAGCAATTTAATTAAATTTTTCTTGGTTTTCAAAAAAATTAATTAATTTTTGACAGACCAAAGTTGACATAGGTGTTAATTATTATGAAGAGTAGGCTACTGTACCTTTTTTTCTGAATTCCCTGCTTTTGTAAACCCACCCACATCCAGATAATACCTTTCTTGGGTTGTGAAGAAAATGAAATTAATTAAAACTCATATAATCACATTTTAATTGTGTGTGTGTGTGTGTATATATATATATGTTTATCCCTTCAATTAAAAACTAGGGAAATCAGAAAAAAGGTTTAAAGTTCGAAATTAGATATAGAAATCAGGAGAGATAAAATTTTATTTAATTATTATTAATTATAAATTTAATCCATGTTACTTTCGCTAAATAAATTACTGAAACCCACTTTTGGAATTAAACCCAAAACCAAGGTACTCCTTTTATTTAATTGCCAGCCCAAATCATGAATGGCCCAGCTCAAGCTCAAGGCCAGCCTATTATCCATTAATCCAAAACTGAAGGATGTGGGGCGCGCGCAAAGGTGAAACAATAAGATAACAAGAACACAAATGAAATAAAAAATAATTAAACTGCAAAAACGTAATAAATGTTCAGGATTCACATTACTTACACAAATAACTTAAAGTACCAAATACGTTATGAAATTCACTCTTTTGAAAGAAACACAAGAATAAGGAAATAAACGGAAAATAAAGAAATATAGCATTTACTCGCAATGTTCATGCGGATCGGGCTCTGGAACCCGTTCCTCATGATCTGAAATGGTTAAGTAAAGGATGAGTTACACTAACTCAGTGATGATATCACACTATATCATTGACACATAAGTAAATATTGGCATAAAATCAAAACACTAATGGGAACTTAATTTAAATCAATACATTTATTAAAAATAAGACCATTTACCGTTCACTTATCGCAGTGGGATTCATGAAAATAACATATGCAGACAATAATATCATACAGCATAATTTTATGTAAAATCAGTAATATAGCACATATAATAAGTCTATATACATCGTTAATAAACCAAACAATAACTGTCATATTTTTTACCAGCTTACTAGTATCCACGAGGGTTCATAGGGATCTCCGCGCTACACGCGAATCATTTT